TGTCTCAGATATTAACAGCCTTGTCAGCAACAGAGCAGAAAGTCCTCAAATTGCAGCACCCCGAGAGCAAACCTGCATGGCTCTGTGAACTCTAGTGTCTCAAAGGGACTACATGATATAAAACTCAGGTAAGCGTAAAAAAGCAAGGTGAGTGAATGGTGAATGGATCGTAAGGGCGCTGATCATTACTGGTAGGGGGCACCTGGTTGGTATAGTAATTAACCCTGCTGAATGGTTGGCCTGGAAACTGCTGACTTCAAACGCCCCCATCCCTCGAAGTTGCAGAAGACCCACAGATGATGGGGTGTCAAAATCTCCTACATCCACCTGGCACCCTGCTCACACTTATTAGAGCCAGTGAGCACTGCTGTGACCTGGCCAGTGTCTCCCACTTTTCATGCTCCAGAGTGCGATAAATGGGCGGCCAGGGAACAGAACAAAGCGAGTTAATACTGACAAGCCTATATATAATATATACAATACTACACAAGGCATTTGAACATCTTAAACATGTAAGGGTATCAGATGAGCACAAAGAGACAGAAATCACAGAATGGCCATACGCACACAGAGGAATTATTCTTGTCTTGATATCTTTTAACACAAATATACAGATGCAAACGCACACCTACGTGATTTCAGCACATTTTTTACTCGCAATACAGTGAGGGATGTCGCTGTCAAAGATAAGGGGCTAAGATTACTTTTTGGCATGGGCTACTTCTGTAGCCTCATTTTTATCTGTCGTGGTGATGATTGGCTACAACAGCTCTCAGCAATTTTCTTTTGCTCTCTGGGGGGGGGGCGGGCTTAATCTTTCAGCTTGGTGACAAGACCAAACACCCACCAATGAAATTCTGACGGGTAACAGTTAAAGAGGCAGCGTCTCTGCTGAATCTTAAGCAAGTATAAACTCGTATTATAACATCATACAAGGTTAATCTTAGTGATAAGTATTTTATCTTCAATAGCAGATCCCGACACTTAACTCATCTTCACTGAGAAAACATTTTGGAGTATTTCTGGCATAACATGGTTAATGCAGGATTTCTGGAGGATGTACTGACCTCAGTGTTTGGTAGATTACTGTAAAACAAAAAAATCAAGTATTAAACAGTTTCTTTATATAAAGCTAGGAAATGGGAAATAGGTGCAGCGATGAAACATTTGCAAACATACATAGAAAAGAAGCGTATAAAGCATAAATAGAGTTTGTAGAATCTAATGAGCTTCAAAATCACAATCTTTGACAATCTTTAGTCTTCAACACAGCCTGAACTCTCTGAGACAAGCTTTCTTCTCATGTCTTTTAGTAATATTCAGGAATAGTTCCTGAGGGTTCCTGGAGGACATTCAAAGCTCTTCTTTGGACGTTGGCTACGTTTTGTTCTGTTCTCTGTGAAGATGATCCCACACCGCTCCAATAATGTTGAGGTAGGAACTCTTGGGAGGCCAATCCATGACTGAAAGTGTTCAATTGTGTGTTTTTACTATCCAGTTATGCTTCTACTGGACTTAGCAACATGTTTGTCATGCTGATTTTATGGCATGGTGAATCAAAAAAAACCTATGCTCCTTTTCTGCACTCATAATTCCATCCGTTTTGACAAGACTTGGATTCAGCTAAAGAAAGGGGAACAAATGGCAGGTGCTGGTCACAAAATGCTTGAACATACAATTCAAAATTGGTTCTTTGTTGTTTGACCGTTCTCGCCCCTTTCCACTTCACCCTCAACACAGAGACCTGCCATCTTCAGAAGTTTCCTGATGACTCTGCGATGGTTGAATGCACCAGCTAGGGTGATGAGATGGAGTAGCGGGCTGTGGTGGACTCCTTTGTCTCATGGTGCGAGCAGAATCATCAGCAGCTCAGCGTGACAAAGACCAAGGAATTGATTGTGGACTTTAGGAGGACCAGGAAACCAGCGACCCCTGCTTTAATCCAAGGGGTCGATGTGGACATAGTGGAGGACTATAAATACCTCAGAGTACACACTGACAATAAAGTGGACTGGGTTAAAAACACCACTGCACTCTACAGGAAGGGCCAAAGTTGTCTGTATTTTCTGAGGCGGCTGAGATCTTTTAACATCTGTGAGTACTCGTGATTTTCTATGAGTCTGTTGCATGCTGGGGGAGCAGGTTGAGGGTCGCAGATGCCAACAGACTCAGTAAACTTATGTGCAAGGCCAGTAATGTCATGGGAATGGAGTTGACTCTCTAAAGGTGGTGCTGGAGAGGTGGATATTCTTTTAATTCTCTAATGGACCTTATTTTTGATTAGTGGCCCATAATTTATACCAGTATAGACATATAGTAAACAAATGTATGGCAGATGTATGGGCCTGGTTTCTGATAATACTTCAGAATCTTGTTTTAAGTTCATGGTTAGAAATATGACAAAACCTCCCCCAAAAAACACGCAACATGGAGTCAGCCCACAAGAGCACCCGATGTGGCTCATTCTTCCACAGTCACCCGCCTCTCCCAACACATTACTTCTTCTCTAACATATGCAAAGCTGACTAATTTCCTTAAGCGATTCACACGCTTGCACACAATCAAAAACTGGTCAATGACTTTATGAGGAAAGGAATCGCAAGCTGGTATCATCTTGCAAACTGATTAGTTCAGTTTCCATCTGGTTTATAAACTTAAACCTGCTGCAGTGTGCCAAATCAGCTGCCTGGCATGGGGCCGACGCTGGGTGCGCACCACGGCTTCCTAGCTTGAATTCTTTCCCTCTCCTCGCCTCTATTTTGTGTCAGAGATTAAAAATAGCAAGTGGCCTTCTGCAGAATAAGCAGTTCATAGATTCTGGCTTTGACGCTGCATTTGCCTGGAGAGGCCAGCTGTCACCTGCATGCAGGCAGAGTAGGCCTCGCCACTGATTCTCTATAGACACTGGGCTCTGGACTTTGGCTGTAAGACAAAACGGGTGTGTTTGCGCATCCACTTTATATTGCAAGACAACTTCTGGTGTTTATAACTTTGTTTATGTTGAAGATAAACAATCACACTGAGCAAAATGTGCATGTGGTTGACGATGTTGATTTTAGAAAGGCATGCAGCAAATAAATTACTGACATACAAGCATCCACTTTTGACCCATAGCTAATGCCAGTATCAATATTTTTAGTTTAATTGATTTTTTTTCATGTTTTCTCGCTTTTATCCAGAGAAACTGTGAAATTATCATTATAAATAATTGCTAAATGTTTCTTCATCACACTGTCTTTGAACACGTGAGGCTCTAAATAGAGAATCAAGTTAAGCACTTCAAATCTGTCACTCAGTAAAGGACTGAAGCTGCTCCATTTAGAATTAATGAGACACCAACCTTGTGAACACTTCGTTGGAACAAATTTCATTTTCTGGTCCAGAACATCACTATCAAACCTTAATGTGTGTGTGTGTGTGGAAGCTCAAACAGCTATTACACCAGGTTCACAAAGTCAGCCTCCGTCGGCTGAAGTTTTGATCAGATAAAATTTCTGCCTGGGTGGTTTCTAGCTTAAGAGCTGCTACAAACATCCAACTTTAAATCCCACAAGACCACTGGTTCGCAACCTTTCGCTTATATATCAAAAGCCCTGTCAGATAAGCTGAAGTACTCCTTTGACACAGCCCATCACGTTCCAAACATTTCAATTGATGGTAAGCCAGATGTTCATCGTAAGTCTTAACAAAATAAGTGAATATTGTAGTAGTCATATTCTTGTACAGGAGCTGGTTGGGTCTACTTTGTGTTTGTGCTACTAACACTTGGTAGAAGCTGGATGTTCATCAATCACGGCACAAAAATGTACTTTTCACCACCTACTATTTTCATTCTGTAGAGCCAGAAGGCTTGGTATCATGTTTGCAGAAAGCCTGCATTTATGACTTTAGGCTAACTAGTTCAACTATTTTAATGGTTTGGGTCTCGCTGTTTACCGCCCACATAAAATAAACATTTTTCTTTCTTTTTAAAATAATAAGTTCTACTTTTGATGTGTGTGTCTGCAGGATATAAAGGACCAATAAAGATACGGTCATGTGGAAAAACCAAGTACACCCTTGCTACTTCCACTGGCATTGTCAGGGAAATAGCAGCCAGGTGCTGCTAATTAAATGCACTTGAATAGCTGATCATCAGCAGGTGTGAGCACCTCTATAAAAGGAGAAGTTTGGACAGTTTGCTGCTCTGGCGTTGTTGTGTGTTGACATAATGCCACCATCGTCCCAGGAAAGAACAGCCCAGCAAATTCAGTTGAAAGGCAAACCGGCAATTCTCAGAAAAGCTGCAAAAACCTAAGATCTACAACGTAGACTCTACGGGCCTCAGTTAGGTTAAATGTTAAAGTTCAGAACAATACAATTACAAAAAGCTGAAGTATGGCTTGTTTGTAAGAAGTGCCTGGAGAAAGCTTCTTCTTTCTCAGAAGAGAATCGTAGCAGGGCTTAGGTTTGTAAAGTTGCATGACAACAAACCACTAGACTTTTGGAACAATTTCCTTTGGAAAAATGAGACCAAAGTAGAGATTTCCATATTTCCATAATGCACTGCAACACATTCAGTGGAAACCAAACAGTATATCAGCACAAACACCTCATACCAACTTTCAAGCATGGCGGTGGAGGGACGACGATTTAGCGTTGTTTTGGAGCCACAGGACCTGAAGACCTTTGAGTCATTGAGTCAACCATGAACGCCGCATACCAAAATATTCTCAGTCAAATATGAGGCCATCTGTCTGAAAGCTAAAGCTTGGTCTGAATTTCTGCTGTGCGTGAAAGTCTACAACAGAATAAATGATGAGACTGTGAGACACTCATAAAATCATATAAAAAATAATTATGTAAAGTTATTACTGCTAAATGTGGCTCTAGAAGCTACTCAATTATGAGGTGTACGTATTTATAAGAGTGCACAGATTCCTATGAAAACTTTCTTTTTCACATGACTGAAAGTCTGTATTAGCTTAATCTGTGAAAAGAAAAGTGACAACCACCAATGCTGCAGGTTTATACATTTATAAATATCAGCGAGTTCCACATATAAGGCACATGTAGTGTAGTTCAAAAATCAACTGTTAAATATGGAAAAATAAAAATGGACTCATTAATAAGATTCACCCATAATGCTGAACAGACATCAATAGAATCTCCGGTATTAAGATTAAATAATTCACAATTATGTGCACATTCATTACAAGTTTTGGTATGAAAATTTGAACTCATCTAAGAGTGACAAAAAATGCAGCATTCAGTTTATTAACATCCCTTAGGAAGAAGAAAGCAAACAAGTGGGATTATCTTATCGCAGGGGAAAGGAAATATGGGGCATAGGAATGCATGTTGCCATATTTGTTATTTTCCTAGCTAAATTCTTCCTGCAGGGCATGAAGTTTGCAACTCCATCGATTTGAAGATTTTCTGTTCCTGTGCAGCAACAAGCTTGTCTGGATACAAAGTGCACTTCGAGCTTTGTCAGTGGTGGCTGAAAAAGTGCTTTCTCTCTCTTTTATTGACTAAAGCGGTGGAGAAGACAGCTCGTGAGCACTGGCTGTGTTGTGGGAATGCAACAGTGGATGATTAATGCAATCATCAATAACGACGACAAGGACGAGGATTTAAATAAGCTTCTCGGTTGGATCATGCCAAGTTGTCACTATGACAGGAGTCACTCTGTGCAGAGGGACACTGAACGTCCCACTCTCTTGTACTCGACACCTCTGCAGCCTGGCTCTCTGGAGCTGACACAGAGGCTTCTTCATGTTCAGGTACATTATCGGACTCACTGTTCTGGGATTCACAGGGCCACTGACCCACCTCCGAATGACTGACAGAAGCTTGTTTAATTGAAAGCCACTGAAGGTCTGATTCAGTTTGTGGGACATCCAGCGCCAGAGCTGCTTCCTCTCCTTCCTCCACTGTGGAACCCAGCTCTTCATCATCATCAACTCCTTCTATCTCATGCCCTGCCTCTTCCACAGGGCTCCGCCCCTCCTCCAGCTCTACGCCTGCATCTTCTGTAAGGGTCACCAGCTCCCCCCCCCTTCTGTCAATCCCATTCGTCTCCACCCTGTCAAGAGTCTCCAGGCTGCTGTGCAGTGCAGGTGCGTCTTCCCTGCTGACACCATCTGTGCCAAGGTCAGCGCCAGCGGTGTGGCACTCCCAAGATGATTCATGTGAACTTCTGTCGTCTAAAAGAACTGGGAAAAGGAAGATGAGATGACTGGTCATTTTAATCGCTCACTTGATCTGAAGCTGGAGCCAAAAAAGTTTTTTAAAGAAAAAGAAAAAAGGAAAACTTTCTAATGAGTAGCTAGAGACAATAATTATTGTCATAACTGATAACAGTAATAAAAAAAACCAACCCAAAAACCACACACACGAAACGATATAACAAAAATTGCATTAGACAAGAGTTTAAAATGCATGAAAAAACCGAAACAGCAGCCACAAATGAAAAAGCCCGTATTGATTCTGCTAGAAAAACTTTCCTCTCTCAGAGTTGGATCACAGTGTCAATGTAGAAACTTATTTCAATTACTTATGTGACTGAAGTGCTTCCATGGCAACAGGCTAAATATAGCAGCGGTGCCCCAGACAAGGGGACGCAAGACAAGTGTGACGCCCTGCATCTCAGCAATAGCAACAGCTTAGTTCTGCTTCTTCGCCAAAATATGCTCTCACTTTGGGGATTACTGACCCATATTTGTGGATGTGCAGGCAAAAAGGTTAAAGACTGCACACATAGAGTCCCCCCACCCCCACGCACACACAGACACGCAAAAACACGCAAGAAGAAAGCAACATTACTTGAAGTGGCATCCATATTTATAGTCCTCCCATCCTGATCCCCCCACCCTCTTTCAAAGAGAACATGGCAGAAGTTTCTGAATGTCAGTGGGCGAGAATTTGCCTCACATTTCCAAAATGCCATGGCATTTGGGCATCTTGCACCAATGAGGAGCAGGGAGAAGTGGAGGCGGGAAGGTAGAAAGGAGTGTTTAGCATGCAATGCCTAATTGCAGTGTTTACGCCATTAGCGGTAGGAGTTCTTATCATTGACTGGAGAAGCCAGTCACTCGCAATTACACACTCACCTTTGGGTGGATGCACTCTGGGCTGCATGTTTGGCTGAGACGTGACACGTGTAGGACGGAGCTCTGGCTGAAGGTTCTCATTTAGTGTGATACTGTCTCTTGTCCCTGTAACATCAGCGCCAAGGAGAAAACGCTCCCAGTTACTCTCTGGTCCAAATGAGAACAACAAACAAGTGATATGTAGAGGGTTTTTTGGAGGGTGGAGGAGTGTTAGATTGGATGGAGCACATGTACGATGGTGCATGCAAACACAGGCGCACGTATGCATTGCAGTGCTCACAGGAAGAGGCTCCAGCTCCCTCTCATCTGTCTTCATTAGTGATGGCTGCACGCCTCTTAGGCTGACACCATATGCTACTCAAAAGAGACTGTGCACTATAAACCAGACGTCACGAGTATACACACAAAACTATATGCACAGACACTCTGCCGTCGCACGTAGCCTGTGAACAGGCGAACCTTTGCGTGTGTCTCCGACCGTTCAAGTGTGCGACAAGAAAACAAACAGGAGAACGAGAAAATGGATGACTGGAAGACACAATGCATGAGAATCATGAATGGTGAACGGACACCATATTGTTATGAAAACAGTCCATATTGTTATGGATGCTCAATGTTTACACTGACATGGGAACAGCGAGCGAGGGAGAGACTGTTAGAATTCGTCGTACCAGCTGGGTAAATCAAAAGAAGCAAAAACAAAAAAGTCATGTTGTCTAGAAAGTTCCTCTAATTATTTAACTGTGAGACTGTGTTTAGCCATTAATATGCTGTTAGGCTGTTAAACTGCATTCCTTTTGGTTACTTCAATAGGCCACTACTAAGATATTTAAAAATAATAAACTGTCATAAAACAAAACCAAGATCAATTTTATGATTGTTTTTGACTAAAAACAGCCCGATTAGCCAAATATCTGCTAAATAAAGCATAAAAAATCAATACAATATTTCCACAAATCATTTGTGATTATTCTCTTGCAAACAGCAACAACCCAGTACAACACAGACTGATGATCTGTGGAGGCTTTTATATTTTCACCCAGATACACTTTGAGCTTGATCTGGTCTATTTTTGGCACTAATAACAACTGCTGTGGGAAAAAGACTTGACCCACGAGTCAGAAAACTGAGCCTGATGATGTTTTATGGCAAGTATTGTCAAATCTAATCCCACACGTAACATCACATCCATATAAGGTGGTGCAGCAGCTGAGTCTAAGCAAACAGACCAACCCTGAGCCACTGCCATCATTCAAGGCCAAAGATATGCAGATATGGGCCATTTTGGGCAGACATAAAAAGTGCCATTTAGGAAGATGCTAGAATGCTGAGCAATATATCGACATCACATAGGTAGGACTGGCCAGTAGTGTGTGAAACTGCATCTAAACTTGCAATTGTGTTAGGACAGTTTAGATTTATTTTTAGGAGAACAGTCGAGGAAAACTTCACCAGACTGCCTTTTGAAGCCAGTAATAAAGCGATGCTGGTTACTGGATATGCAGACGAAGACCCAGACTGAGCACAGCAGCTGTGTCTCCATGAGGCGTGCAGAACTCAGAGATAGGAGGCACCAGTGGTTTGCTTTGAACCCTTACTGACAGCTGCCTGTATCATCATCTAACCACCTCTACACCTCTTTGAAACACATCTAACAAACACGCAAATTTATATGTGTGTTTATGCGCATAAAAAAGGACTATTCCATATTATGTGACACCAGATCATACTGGATATTAAACACTATATCACAAACGGGAGAAGTGTACATAGCTGTCAGCTAGTCACAGGAGCTTACACTATGCAGTGCTGTCTAGCTCGACATTGACAGGAAATGCCTTCCTCTTAACTGGAAAAAGTCTGTCAGTTGACCAAAACAGGGTGCATTCTGTATCCACCTCTGTCTTTTCAATCTCTGATGCACTCTGACAGGTTTTCACTCGCAGTGTTACATTTCAGCTCACACTCATTCAGCACAGGAGGTGGGGGCGCTGAACTGGAGGACTGGGGTGGGGGAAGCTATCAATCACAACTTTATCTGACTCACCGCATCGATGTCACTGTTATTGTTTTTGGCTCTCTCTCATCCGTAGACAATGTAGTCACCTCTAGTGTTTTCCGGGACTCAGGTAGGCAGCCAAGGCCCTCCATCCTATCCCGTTTGCCTTTAATATCAATCAGCCCAACTTCATCTCGCATCAAGGCCACAGACGCTCACATCTCTCTCTATATCTCTGTCTCCCTAACTGTGGTGGACAGCGTGGTCGTCAGGCACTCTGGGCCCTCGTCTACAAATTCCCTAATAACGGCACATTCCCCTAAATGTGTTTGTAATGTGGGCAATCATTTTCAGTAATGGATGCTTGTCAGTTTTATGGCGGAGAGAATGACGGTCTCATGACAGGGCACCTCCATCCAGCCGCAGCCCCTCCACCGTTCAGTCTGCTTCATAGACGGCACAACATCTCCCTCCAGTGGAGATAAAGGGGAACTGCTTTCTAAGTGAGCAAGCACGGTCCCCTTGTTTCAGGCCGCAAATGTTTTTCGATTACGTTTGGTAAATAGTTTTATATTTTTGGACTGGTTTTGCTCTACTGAGAGTCAGACGTCTTTGCAGGACAGGAAAAGTCACGAGCTGTGTCTTTGAGGAAAATCTGACAGCCGATACAGCATTTTTTATACTTCAATTTTAAATACAAATATAGGATCAAGGGTTAAAAAGTGGTGCAAAAATTCACTTTCTGATAAAATAATAAGAACTTTGACTTTACACCCTCATATACCAAAACTGTATATGACAAACTGTCTTCAACAAGGCTCTCATCTGTATTATGAGAGCCTCGAATCCTTCTACTACTACTACTCAACAGTACTGTGCTGCCCTTAAAAGAAGCCCAACTGCATCACTCAAAGAAAGCGCTTTTTTTTTTTTTTGGTTTCTCTTGTGAGTAAAATTTAAGACAGGTCCACTGGACCGAGAGCATCAGTGTGTGGCACTCCGTCGGCCTGATTCAGTCAGCGGTATCATGAACAGACACATGAGCTGGTGGTCAATGGAGTCAACACATTGTAAACGGTGGGCATGAGGTGACATGTTTTCTGGGCGTCTGCCCAGATTTGTCCTGGCATGACATAGTGGAGGGCATGGATGAACTAAGCGGGGCAGAAGGAATACATACTCCCAATTCCCACAGATACGTGGTAGGTCAAGCCTGAGACGCAGCCAGAGAGGAGAGAAAGGCACAGTGTTATGAACAGAAAAGCTCATTAATGAAAAAGACAGGAGAGGAAATGAATTTAAACCAGCAGGCCAGCTAGAACGATCCCAGCAAAGATCTCCGGGTCATTTAAACAACCTTTAAATGCATCAGATGGACAACACTGAGACAATTATTAAATGATTTTAACTTAAATTGAAAATCATATTTATTATATGGATGCACTTCAATACTGTATCCATGATTTTAGGAGATTTTACATAGACCTTTAAAATAAAAGAGGTCCTAATTTGTTTAAATCAAAATAACTTTAAAGTCATTGTTATCTTTTTCTTGATTTTAATGGAATATCTATGTAGTAGATGATGACTATGATAGTAACAGAAGATTATTAAAAGCTGTTTTAGCTGATTAGCTTAAAGTTTAAGTAGTCGCGTGTCTGGAGCTTCAGCCTGTGTGGATTTAAACAGACAGAAAAAACAAGTCAACTTTCCAGTTTTTCAGTTTTCTTGTTCTTAGACGTGAAAGATATTCCATGAGGAAAAATCCCCAAAAAAATTAAATAAAAATGAAGTACAACAGTGTGCACTTCTCTTCAAAGAACAGAGCAAACTGGCTCTAACCAGAGCAGAAAGAGAAGTGGGAGGCCCAGTGCACAACTGAGCAAGAAGACATCAGAGTCTCGAGTTTGAGAAACAGATGCCTCGCAGGTCCTCAGCTGGCAGCTTCATTAAATGTTACAAACATAACACCAGTCTCATTGTCAAGAGTGAAAAGGCGATGCCGGGATGCTGGTCTTCAAGGCAGAGCAGAGCAAAGACAAAGCTATCTGACACCAGCCAACGTCTGATCTTTTGCTTATCTTAATGTTTTATTGGCTACACACACACACACACACATTTATGTTTTCTAATGATGTGGGAAAGATTACATGTTCTCAGCGGTAGTCTTCAAACGATACATTAATATGATTCATTAGTTTTACTCATCATATGTGATCATTTTTCCAAAAGCACAAAAGTGTCTCAAAATAAACATTGCTGAACTACTTTTAGTTTTTAATGGATTCATAAAAGGTTTGATGGTGGAACAGCTTAGGTGTTCAAAGACCCACCTGGAAGACTCCATAATCCTGAAACCTCCAAGGTCTTCAGCTTCCTTTCCAAATCTGCAACTCTATTTCCCAAGATCCTGCAGGCCAGGTGAGAAGAAGGGTCAGTGTGTGTGTGTGCGCACACTTATGTCATATTCCAGTGTTTGCTTTATAGGAGGAGAATTCTTGTAACAGCTAGACAAACAATGTAACTGTGTTAGGGGGTTAAAGGTGAAATATTACCATTATGATGCCATCAGCGGCAAAGCAGGAACTCTTAATACCTGTTGCTGTGTCTCTGGTGCTGGATGACCAAATTCTTCTCATGGATCGTCTCCAGGAGAGCAGTGGCGAGAGACTTGAGGTCGGAGATTGACTGAGGCGTGGCTGGTAGACTGCAGCCCTGCTCTTCCAGAAGCATCTCTTGAACTAAAAAGGAGGGAAAGGGGGAAAAAATCAGGATGGGAAGAGAAAGGGACAGAGAGCCACAAATGGAGGGAAGAGAAATGCCAATAATCCCCCAATAAAACTTACACAAAAGTTAAAAATAGGTAACAAAGAAAGCAGGGTGATATAACAAGAGACAGGGAACACAGCATGATAAGAGTAAGACAGAGATGGAGAGTTAGAAACAGATGTCTTCTAGGTGACACTCTCCTAACTTTAACTCCAGAGCCCACTGTGCTGCTTCTGCCAGCAACTGTCAGTCATCATGGCAGGCTCATTTCCCTGCCAGTGGTGCTCTTTACCACTCAGAATACAATTAGTAACCCAGCTGGTGTCCGGCAGTGGCTCGGAGGATCGGCAAAAAGAGAAGTTATTAAATAATCCATTGAGACACGGGTAGAAACAAAGGAAGTGGTTGTTATACTGAAGACACGCCATCAGTTGTAGAGTTTATTTGGCCTGAGAACATTCGCATTAGTGCCTTTCTGCAGTTTCCAGATCAGCTAATACTACATCTATTTATGTCTGAGTTTAAAGAACTCAAAGTGAGCTGAACAGGTTGTGTTTTCACCTTGTTTGGCTGAGAGGACTCCAGTAAGAGGACTGTTATTTGATTTCCCATATGTGCTGGAGTTTTTCCTCCTCTCCAGGGCTGTCTGCAGGGACAGAAAAACAAGAGAATAAAGCTCACCCTGCTGATTCACACGAACATTTTAGTAAAAAGCCACTTCCTTTGCATTAAGAACGTTCACAAAACCATACACATGTAAAGAAATTACATGCACTGAGTCAGGCAATGTCTGTGTCACATTTTAACTGCAGCATTCAATCTGTACCTTGTACTTCATGATGTTTGACTTCAGCAGGTTCACCTCCTCTTGCAGTTGATTTAAACGGTCATGTAAATACCTACAGGAACATTGATTAGAAAGACACCCAGCAAAGTCAAAACACACATGACAGACAGAGGAGTTCCACATTACATGTATAATCGCTGTGCACTGTGAGCAGGAGGCAGTGTCAAAAAGAGCATTTGGTAACGTGAATGACTCTTCTTTATGTTTGTCTTGCTGTTTGTCATTTAGCTCACCCTCTGCCATGTAGAACACAGAAGTCACAACAACATAAAAAATGCATTCATATGGAAATGAAACCAAGCATTCTCTTCATCCATGCCTTTTTGATCTTTCGTTAGCTAATGTCCACCCCGATTAAACATGACTACCACATAAGACGTCGGTAAAAACACTGAAGCGCATGTACAGTAAGGAAGAACATGTCCAGTACTGCTTAGTTAAGCAACGAGAAATGGCCATCTAAATAAAGAGAGAAACAAGTTTATATTATTTCAAAAAAAGGAGGTCAGTCAGTTCATTCAGTTTCCCCAAGTGCCATCTCAAAATCTATCAACTGTCTTTCATGACAATTGCCTCCAGACAGGAAGACCAAGAGAGAAGTTTATTAGGATTACAGCCTCAGAAGTCAATCATTGGCACTTCAGATTAGAGCCCTCAAGTTTCACAGGAACCAAACACATCTCAGCAGGAGCTGTTTGGAGGACACTGTGCAAATCACACCTTTATCATCTAAGAAACAAGAAATGGACATGCACGTGTCTCTCATTGTTAGTTATGGCAAAGATGGTGTGATACTGTGAGGACATCTGCTAGTGACACTGATGATGATTTACTCAGAATTCATCCTGCAGCAATTTCTGACTTCTATTATTATTGCACAATAGGGGAACATTAAAGCCCCCCTCTCAAAAAAAGGATGGTGTTCAGAATCAGGAACACCTGGCATCCACGGACATCCAAACCTAACCACCGTTGAAAAGGCTTTTGGATGAGATGCACCACAGAGTAAGGAAGAACAGCCAGGAGGTGCTCAGTGTGTGAGAACTCCTTCAAGACTGCTGAAAAAGGTGATGATGAAAGGTAGCTGAGAAAATGCCAGGAGTTTATGAAGTTAATACTGAAGTCAAAGATGTCTACTTTCAAGATTTAACATACCTTTTAGTTGGTTTACACTAATTACGTTTATTAGGTAAATTCGAAGTTTGGTATTAAATAGTTTTGATGTTTTAGAAGATAGTATTGAGACTGAAAAATGTATTTTAAAAAGTGTCAAATGATGACACTTCTGTCTGGCACATCTCTAACTCACTTGTTTTCCATGCACAGGGCGTCCACATCAATGATGCGAGCCTCATGGTTCCCCAAAATATGATTCAGCTCCATATTTAGTCGCTCCGCCTTCTCTCTGAACACAGTGCGCTCTGCCTTCACGTCCTGGAGCTCGTCTGTCAGTGCTTTCATGTTGTTCTCCATCTCCTCCATCTAGAAAAAGGCATACAGGCAGAACTGTTTGTGAGGGAAGCCACGGAAACGTTCACGTGATGGATATTTCAAAGCTTTTGCTCATTAAAGTAGAGTTTGCTGAGGCTGCATACACTGTTTTTAGCATTCAGCAACTCAGGAGCTCCCCTGTTGTTTTAAAGTGAGCAGCTTCCACTCTAGTAGATAACAGTTAAGTGGCTCCACTGCGGGTTTCAAAGAGGAGGAAGTATTGTTTATCAGTCTAATACATTTACTGTGTTTAATGTGCAGAGAGGATTTTGCCAATAATAAAATGTTCTACTCTGAAATTAAATTCAAAGCACATGGACAGTAATGCGCCGAGTGCATTTCCAAGCAAAAAGTGTGATTCACTATGGAAAGTTTTAAACAAACTGAATGAATTACTGAGCTTACGTCTACTGAGGAAATCTATAATAAATGTCTGTCATGAGGCCCTGACTAGAAACGAACAGTTCCAGAAACGTCAGGTTTCTTTAGAAACTTAATAATTAGATAAATCAGTCTTATTAATATGTAGTTAAAAATGATACAAGTCACTACATTGTTCTCTACATAAACTGTAGGACAACTTAACCTTTGAATGAGTGTAATGAACACTTGACCTTTGACTCCTGACCTTGAGCCGAGGTCATGAAGTAGATACACCAATGGAATAGATTTAAAATTCCTACATTGCTTCATCCTCGAGTTATCAAATTCAATAACTTGCATGTCAACATCGACCCATCAGGGTTACGACAATACCCAATCAACCAAGACTATGAAAAGCAGAAAAGAACACTCTAAAGTAGTTACAATCTGCACCAGTTACTGGTTTTCAATAGAAATTGTCACGACTTTTTTTACTACTGGACTTAATTGCCATTTACACTCACCCTGTTCATCCTACATTCATTTACCTAATGACACACACATTTTCAAACCCTGAATGGACAAAAGATTCAAACCTAGATCATTGTTGTGAAGTGACAGGGATAACTAGAGCTGTGCCATATCATGTCATCAGCAACAACACCGGCATAAAGTTTTATGTGATAAAAAAAAAAATGACATAAGACCAAGTATATGTTGGAGCGATTTAGTGCCTAAAAAGGGAGCTACTTCAATAATCTCCAACTAAGCACAAGGCTTTGTAAGATATGCAACAAAAAAGTTCCTGCTAAATGTGGAAACTACAAACATGTTTCACTATTCCATCAATCGTCAGTGTCACTGGAGCACTCCCTATGACAGCAAAAGTGAACAGTGGATGGAAATTACTGATGGAGTTATATGTCAGAAAACAGGACTTTAAGCATCTGGTTAAACAGCTCAAACCAAGCTCCACCACCCCACATAGAAAATGCTTTTATTTGTATTATTTGACAGTACTGTGCAACTGCTAATATGTTACAAAGCGATCTTAGGACTTTAACAATAATTAACGTCCTAGGTAGTGATTTAGACTTTTTTTTTTAAAAACACTCTTTCTTTTGGATTAAATTTGTAAATGACATGTCCCTGGACGGAGTTCCCTCCTTTTCCTTAATCCTGTAGCAACATCCTAATGAATATTCCACAAAAGAAGAAATGGACCTGAAAATGGAGGATTAATTGCCAAACGTATCAAAGTGCTTTAAGGTAAGAAATACGTCCACCTGTAGCCCAGCTCTCTCTAGCTTGCAAACCAGATCCTCACGCTCATGGGCGGGGAAGTGACGCACCCCGACCTCTTCATCCCCCAGCCTCTGTCGAGTAATGGTCATCCTCAGGAGCTGCAGAAAAGAGAAGTTCAACTTTTTACTTCTCTTAAATAGTTAATCTCCATGTACGTTTGTGCGAGTACCCCTGGTTACTTCACCTTGTTATCCCCCTGGGCCTCTGCAAGCCTCTGAGTGAGCTCCTTCACCTCCTCGGCAAGCTGTTTTGTTCGTTCCCTTGAGTCCCTCAGCAGCTGAGCCAGGTTCACCTGCGGAGCAGGAGGAGGAGAAGAGTGAATGCACAACAGCTTGTGCCAGGCCAGACAAGGTTCAAATACCCCAGGAAATCACATTTAATCAGCATCAAACATTTTCCTTCTTCAACTCAAGAAAAAAAAAATGCCTATCTTAACATCCACAAAATTTCAGAGATAAAACCAAAGCCAGTCCACAATCCTGTTCTAATGAAAGAGACAATTATTTAGTGCCATCTAGTGTACACATTAGTATTTTCATTTTTCATTTCACTGGTGTTTTGTTACTATTTCATTGTATTTTATAGTGCTATTCAACCAGCAACTGTTCAGTGTCACGCTGTCCCTGAAAGCACAATAAGACAGAGTCATGCAGGGCCCTATGTTACAAAGCAAGTTCAGCAGAACATCTTTCTGTTATCTGGATTCACTTAACCTAACACTGGCAGTCAGGATAAGCAGTCACACAAAGCTGGCTATCAAGGCGCTAAGTTAATCCAAGGTTTCCCCTGCGCGTTCACATGAAAGGGTTGGCATTGGCAACATTTAGAAATAGCAATTATCGATGGGTTTACTGGCATCAGAGTAGGTCATCTTGCATAGGAAAATAAAACTATACTGTACAAAAAATATGAAGAGGTTAAAAACATAATACAGACTAAAACCAACACAAGTGCCTCAGATAACACAGCAGCATGACAGGAAAAGCACTGTACAGCAGTTTAGTGTTGAATGAATGTGTGAGCACTTTCAGAGCTTTGGGCAGTAAGACAGGAAAAGGCTTACAATATTAATAAGGTTTAGGCTATTTGAAGATGCAAACTCTCTATATTAACAAACTTGTCAATATCACGACTCTATCATTAAGTTTAGAGAGCAGTTTCACTTTTTATTTTCTCAGCTATAGATCTAGTGGTGGAAGTGAAGCTAACAGAAAACAAATCATGGAACAAAGTTGCATCTAAGAATCCAGATTTATCACTGATGTTGATCAAGGAAAGACAAAGACTTCAGATGCCATTAAAAAAAAACTTTAGATGCTCCTATTCTGTCCTTCTGTCCCGTGCACAGAGGTCCCATGGATCGTGCCACTATTTTCCAGAAAACTGAGCAGTCAGTAGATGAGGATTTCATGCCTGCTGATCTCTAATCTGGGAAACATCCTGTTCCATAGCAGGTTAGGTTCACAGCATATGTTACCATGGCGAAGTACACTGATAAGGAGTGAGCCACCTTTGCAGTACAGAAAAGTCAGGTTTAACCAGGGAGTTACCTGGAAAAGACAAAATCCTGCTTCATAGTGCAGGCCTCAGGACTTGTAGAAGACACACCCACCCTAGAACAACAATAGTCTGGGATTCTCACCTACTTAAGTGCATTCAATAAGGAGAGAGAGAGGAGTCTGATTAACCTACACCCTGATATTTATCCTGCAGCACAAAAGAAATTGCCTCTGTATGCCAGCACGAAGAATTTCAAATAAACAACCAAGCTGTGAATTTAACATAAGCATTGGATTAACTGTTTATGAATTACACACATTTTTAATAGACATTACCTCATTTAACTGTACCTATTAGCATATGTATTAATAAAATTAAAACTTACTTGATTGCGTTTTTCAGGTGGCAAAGAGGGGTCACCATCCTGAAACATGAAAAAAAAGACTTCTATCATCAGCTGCAATAATACAGCAAATACTATAAGCTGTAGCAGCGTGTAAATGGAAAACTGAATATCTACGTTTAGCTGCTGCCAAAAAATTTAAAATATTTTCTTTTTTTGGGGTGGGCTTGAATAGAGAAACTCTATCAGAATTACACAAAAAAAATCGATATTCCTTCAAGAAATCTAGAAAATACATAAAGACAAAATCAGATCAGGATCTGCAACATTAAGCAAAGTAATGATCCTGTTAACATGACAAAAAATACCACAAGTGTGAAAATGAATTTCAACATCTTGGAGCGGACTGTCGATTCATTTTGCTCATGGCTGTAAAATACTTCATGCTAAAGGGTGGTCACAAAAAAGTACCACCTTGAAGGCTGAACCACTCACAATGAGTTCCCTGTACTTCTTCTTGAGTCCCTGGTGGCGTTCTCTCAGCTGGTTGGCCATCAGCTTGTACTGGTCTCTTTCCTGCTGACAGGTGTCCAGCTCCTTGGAGAGGATGAGGAGGGCTTCCTTCTTACTCTCCAACTTCCGCTTACACACCAAGAACTTAAGCAAACAATGCACGAGAGCCATGGTGCTATGAGATATATTACTGTTGACTGAATTGGCAGTCATGTTTATTTCAGGGACCACAGCTGGACATGTAACATCTGTATCAAGCTTGTTCTTGGTTTTATCATGTATCTTTATGTTTATCTTATTCTGTGATGGGAACGGTTACATTAATTGTGCAAACAAAACCAACCCTAACCTGTTTCCCACAGGTGGAAAAACACACTGGAGTGAAGTGTTTGACGTACAGATAAGGCCCACAATAATGAACAGTGGAGACCGATAGCAGTCAGACCAGCTTATAACCAAATAGCAGCTCCTATCATGCAGCACGGTGTGCTGTAGTAGTTTTGTTAAGTTCAGTGCTTGCCATGTCTTTCAGTTACAGTAAAATAAATAAAAAAAAACAAACATTTTTTTTTCATTACTGCGTTAAATGCTAATTATTTTCTTATTTCTATGGTCTTTCAAATGTTATAAAGGTGCAGGTTATTCGATATTTGCGGCATATAGTGCTAATTAAATTAGCCTACAAGCTTAAATTACTGCGTTAGCGTCAAAATACATACACGCTTACCTTCATATATACAAATAGCTTACTCGGTAATACTCTTAACAGGTTAAACGCGAGCCCACAGGTGGGTCTACCCTATCTGTACACAGTAGCATCATCATATAGGGGTGGGTTGGTGTATTTGCACCAACACAGTCGTATGCTATCAGCTTAACGGAATAGCTAGCAGAAGCCATCAATGAAGAGCCCACCGGTGTCAAAAAACGTTGAGCTCGTGCGTGTATTAATGAACGTCCAGGTGTATGAAAGCTAAGAGACCGAGGCTCGTTTCCATATGGACACCGGGAAACATCTATAAAACCGGTCAGTGTCTGCAGCTGTTTACGGTCTCTCCCCCTCACTTACCTCGCTGACTAGCCCCTGCCAGTCACTCTCACTCCTCTTGGAAGACTGCATTATTCGTAATATTTTGCAAAAATGTCACGACACACCAGCCCCCCTCTCCTCATCCGTTTGTTTATCCTGCAACGTCACTTTCTTAGCCTCTGCTGTCAAGTTACGCAGAAAGACAAAACATGGAAACGACTTCCGGCAAGTCTGTGAAAATAATATTATATTAGAAGAAATTCAGTTTTGGACAATTTTATACAATGAAGTTTTAAACGATTTTATAAGAACGATTCGAGTTATATATGTAAGAGATTTGAGATAAATAGTGGAGAATCAGTGAAGCTGACAATGACAAAGCGGAAATGGGTTCCTTCATAATAAAAGCACAAAGTCTTCCACTAAAAAAAATTCAGTTTCAGCACTTTTTGGAGAGAAACGACCAAAACGCTTAAATAATAAAAATTATATGGGGAAAATGCACTGTTTTCTTTATGTCTATAGACCCTGTAAAGTTTGTAAACAGTGATGGCCTGGGCACTATAAGGTCATTAAGGGGTCCTTTTGTCCCTCTTTGGGGGGACACTCCCACTAGGTTTAAAGCTGGGCTCCCCACCATTTGACCTTAGAACTGAAGAATCTTGTCGGATGAGAGGTGAAACGTCTTCAAGCAACTTAAAGAAGTCAAGACGCTTTTCTTTGCAAGCTCCTTTAATTATAAGGTCTATAGTGATCATTTCCAGGGGAGGACACGTAATGTGTATAATTTGTAAGAAATTATACACATTGTGTGAAATTATACATCATTTCCAGAAGCTGTTGCTAATCCAGGGATCACGTTGCTCAGCTGCTTTGTCTTATATAGTAAAGTTAATACAGACTGATTAAGGTGTTTAGCCCTGCCCCCCTTTTAACCAACTTTATACCAATCAGATACCCCTCGCAAACACCAGATATCAGCTTATAAAGGCAGGAGCTTGTTGAGAGGCAACCTGTTATGGAAAATCTTGCTGGGAACCCTCAAGCCAGGCGTTTTCACTGTAAAAAGCCTGAAACAAACAAACAAACAAGGGCCACTGCTCATTCAGTGTTAATAACATAGTAAAGCATGTGCTGTTTCTTCTCCTTTTTGATGCTAATGTAAATGGAATATATTGGCACTATATAGCCACCATTACAGATTAGTATTCAGTTATACTTAAAACAATTGACTGCAGGTCATGAACTCATGAAAAATATTTTTGAGATCATGCACAAGAGTGCTGAGGGGTTATTTTGCCCCTGTACAACTGGACATCTTTTTAAAGCCAGTCAAGTTTCTCACCCTTGGCCTTGACAAAGAACCCAGGTTCAAGACATTTCAGTTTTGGTTTCAGATCTGCAAGCTACTATGTTTTTAATTGAATGAAATTAAATGAAATTCAGCATTTCCACATTCTGAAGCCTGATTTCAACTATGCTGGCGAACGGAAGAAGCACATCTTTCAACTTTTTTTAAAAAAAAAAGGAATTTATTTAGCTACTAAACATTAAATTTGCAGTTTTTTTACAAAATGAACATGAGATAAAATCTTTGATAAAACATACAAATTCTAATATATTTGGTAAATTCTCAATGACATTCACTTTAATTCAAAATACATGAACAGAAAAGTTGGCATAGTACATAATACTAGTATACAGTTGACATGTTATATATAAATTTTCAAAAATGAAAATGCATACTTAAGCTATGTATTTGCTTCACACAACCAAAATAAAATACATTAAAAAAGGAAAAAGTAGATTTATCCTTTTCCTATCTGGAATAACACTGTCTATAAAAACAGAAGTGGAAGAATTTATTCATAAGTACCGCCAGTGTATTTTTATTTTTATTGGGCGCCAGTTTAGCTCAGCACGTTGTGCAACCATACAAATAACATTACTGACATCTAGTACTAGTAGCTCCCTTAAAATAACATCTCTCCTTCTATCAGGATTTGGAAAGTGGTCACAATGAACAACAGGTGCAAAACTTTGGCTTATTGTGCAGAACACATTTTGATTTTGCTAGTTTGGTTTCTGTGGTGTGCTTATATATACACGCTTGAACAAAATATCCTTCAAAGCTTTCATTAACATCTGTACTTCTAATAATAGTATTTGCTTATATACATTTTCTCTGAATGGTTGTCATACTGTACAGGCCTTAATGACATCCTTCGTCCTTACTGAATTCAACTTTGTTTAAAGTCACTATTGAGATTCCTGAACTGGGAAACTCAGAGGGTCGTCCGTACTTGTAGACATCATTGTAAAGGCGGTACAAATGTCCTTTGTTTCTTCTTTTTCAAACATTTCCTTCTTTCCTTCTAAATTCCAGCCTTTATCCTTGGTAAACTTGTAAACACACCCAAAGAGATCAGGAAATAACATCATTCCATCAATGTGAGGAAAATTCTTGAGCCTGTGAACAAGGAAAGTTTTATTAATGAGTAGTAACAAGAGAAGTAAGCTTCCGAATCTGTCATAGTATCAGAAATATTTGTGATTTGTTCATATAGTTACAAGAAATTAACATATATACACATATAAATATGTGTGTCCATGAATTACATCACTTTTCATTTAGTTTAACTTACTCATGCTCATTGAAATTGCGTATAAAGCGCAGTAACCCCAGTGTGGTTTCAGGGTACGGCTTTCTGCCATCCATCTTCTGAACCAGCTCTTGGGGAAACTGTAACAACAAAACATGGTGGTCATGAACTGGACTTTAGGAATACAAAAGTTTGACCTCTCATCTGTAAGTCACCTTATTTTTCCACAGTTTGAAGGATCCATTAGCACATGCTTCTAGTGAACCAATCAGCTTTTCATCGGCATTTCGACAATTTGCCACCTCCTCCCTGTTCCCAGTCTCTCTCAAATATTCAAACTGCCTGGAAATAAAGTTTAAATTATGCTTTATAAGTACAACAACAACATAAAACTAAGAGGAAAATCTTGAATAATAACAGGAGCAGCACAAAAGAGTCATGCTTAAAAATACGAGAATAGAAATGTATGAAACAAATTTAGTATTTGCTGCCAATGTTAACGTGCCTGTCTGAGTACAAGACAGTTTGACCTCATTTTCCCAACATATGGATTAAGCCAAGTAACAGACTGAAAACTTTCCACCATGTGTGGGAAAATGATTGAAAATCCTTCACAGTTTAGGCTCTCATGAGCAAATCTATTCTTGCTTTACTAAAGTTAAACTAGAAATCGCAGATTCTGTTACAGCATGACTTCCTTACTCTTTCGGAGTCCAGAAGAAGGGATGGTTTAAGCATTCTTTTACTTTGGGTCTGTCCTTTGGCTCTTTGTTGATCATCCACTCGATGAGATCCTTTGCCACCACATCTTGAACATAATCCAAACTGTACTTCCCATCATAAATGTTTGACTCACATTTAAAGGATTTGCCAAATGGATGGTTGCCTCCAGAGAGGATATAATAAATCAGCATGCCTGCCACCTTAATAATAACACATCAGTTTAGATATTTTTACCAAGGCATCTTTCAGTTAATCAAGTTTTCATGGACCTGTATTACCTGGATGTCAGTGTTTGACTTGTATGATATCACAGATTCTTCCGCTTCTTCTGCTAAAGTCTCTCGGGCCATCCAGCATCTGGTTCCTGCACTGCATGTACGTAAAGTTGTTTGGCCTTTGAGTAAGCGTCTGCTTATGCCAAAATCAGCTAATCTTGCCCTCCCAGTAACATCTGCAGGAGGAATAACATACAAAACTCATGAAACTAAATCATTAATTTATATTTACCAGACATCTGTTTTGTTTAGTTTTTCCCTGAATTTCAAACATGTCTCACCAATCAAAACGTTCTGGGGTTTGAGATCTCGGTGAAGAATTTTAGGATTTCCACAGTGAAGCACCTTTAGACTTTCAAGAATTTGTTTGACAAGTTTCTTTAACATCAGTGGGTCATGGTCATCATTCTTGATATATTCTTCCAGGGTGTATTCACAAAGTTGCAGACAAAGATATCCAAAGTTCTCGTCCTCTGCAGCATCAACATATCGTACGATATAAGGATGATCGAGTTCAGGAAGTCGTAGGATTCCTTCTTCGTTCTTCAGCACGTCGTAGTTGCTTTTAGACATTCTCTTAATGGCAACTTCTGTGCCGTCCTCTCTCAGCCCCAAGAAGACTTCAGTACCATCACTTCCCTTTGCTATTCTGAATTCTGCATCATTCACATAAATAATGCTTCTGATTCTGGATATTTTACTGTCATCTGTGCAAACAAGTTTCTCCAGTTTTCTCCTCCACCTGTTGCTGATTGGAAGCCATTTTTGTTTTTCTGATTTTCCATTGGTGCTGTAGTCAAAAGGCTTTAGATTTGAAGTTGATTCTACAACAGAAACCTTTGTTGTTTGATCAGTTGCTGCAGTGGAAACTTCAGCATTTGGGTCTTCTTGCTTTGGGGTCTTTTCCTTCTTTTTCCTTTTCTTTTTCTTCTTCCTGACTAAAGTTGAGGCTGTGTTTCCCTCACATTCTGAGTTTGGTTTACTCAGATATTCTTTCAGACTTCTCAGCACCTCTTTCAGTTTTTCATTCAATTCCATTTCTACAGATGTCAGTATGTCCTCGGGCACTGAAGTTATGGCCACTGATTTAAAAATGTTAGCTGCCTTTTCAGCTGACAGCAGGTTGGCGAATATACCGTATGTGTAGACCCTGATCTCAGTGGAGTGTTGCTCATTTACAAAAGGGAAAACTGTTTTGCATAAGTTCTGTAAAAAGTTGACGTGCCAGTCCTTTGTGCCTTTTGTTTTCTGTGTTATCACATACAATGTTTGTAGCACTCCTGCACAGATGTCAAGTCTCTCTTTTAAGCAAAGCAGTTTCAGTAGTCGTGGAACTATAGCTACTGCATGCTCATCTGTTATTTGATCCATTGTGCAGAAAACTGCACTCAAACTTTCAACTGCCCTCCCTACATGTGTCTTAGGGATGTTTGGAAAG